TTATCTATACTATAGTTATAGAGAGTTAAAGATTGTGAGATTGTGAGTTAGTGACGTTGTAGGGGGTAATCTCTGATTTTACTTAACCGATTTAGATGATATTTGGTAAGAAGATAGCTTGAGACCTTGGGCCATAGGATACTTTTTATCCCGAAAATCATCCCTTAAGGAGGTGAAAATGGGGATGAAATTTGTATTGGGAAGCAAGCTAAAATTGAAATATTTCTGAAAGTTTCTTTATCACTAGGATCTTTTACTTACTCTTGAATAACGTATTCAAAATCTTTAATTTTATGAAAATTTACATTTGATTAACATTTTATCGGAAAATACATATCATAACACCCACGAAGCTTCAACATTTAAAGGCCAAAAAATTTAGCACCTTGCGCCTTACAACTTATTTAATATTCAATTTATCTAAGCGACTAAAAATATTACACACTTGATTTCCTTTACATGATAGATAGATAGATCAGAAAGTGATTAATTATGAGGAAGTCGACAGTTTATAATTATATTTTAAAATGTTACACTATCAATAATTGTTAACTCTTTCGTGTATGAATAAATTAAAAAAAAAACAACAACAACAATTTATTTTGTAATTTAATACACTAAATTAGCAATATATTTGTTGTTTAAAAAGCTGAAAACTCAACTTAGTTTATGGTTAAAATTGTATTTTTTACTGAAATTTTAATTTCATTTTTTTTATTAGATATACCTACATATATATTATCATAAAATTTAATTTATTTTTTTTTAAACAATAGTCTCTTTCCATTAGTTTTATAACATGCTGTATAACAAGTGGGGGTGGCGGGTAATGGCGTAAAAGTAATTTTATTACTTTGCCCCCATTACCATCACAATGCAAGCCACCGGTCGCATACGTTACGCAACTTGATACTACGTTTCGTCATTGTCACATAGGTTTGAATTTTAATGTGAGACGTGAGAAAAATAATTATTTAAAATAGTAAAAACTCTTTCAAAACTTTCGATGCTTCTTTAATTATTAAGCCTTAGTCATAATAAACACATTCGCATGTAAAAAAGAAAATTAAAAAAGTTGTCAATGTCTCATTGCAAAGTTGAGTTATGTATTGATTAATAGATAAAAGAAACAAATATTTCCGAGTTATTTACAAAAGCTTTATGAGAAACATCAAATGTAAACTACGGTAAAAGCTCTTAAAGTGAACTATAGAACTATATAATACAAACCACAATCAGCATAATCTTAAATATTGTCGAATTCCTCAAAAAAGAACTGCTTCTATCCTACATCCCATTAATATTTTTAATATTATAAATGTGAAAGATTAGACGGATGTTTAAATGTTTGTTACTCAACCACGCCATGACGGCTCAACGAATCTGGATGACATTTGGCAAAGAGATAGATTATCTGTCTGAAACAGCACATAGGCTACTTTTATCCCGGAAGAATGTACGGTTCCCGTGGGATAGATTTGTTTTTATTTATCTAGAGGCGTACCCGAGCGAAGCGAGTGAGCCGCTAGCACATTATATATTTAAAAAATAATTCATATTTTTCTATTTGTAATGTATTTAATATTTATTAACCTTAACTATCTGACCTATTGTGAAGATATTGGTTAATTATATACACGTTCTGAAGGGTTTCTAAAATAGAACCATCAACGTACGATAAGGTGGCGCACGAGCTTAATGGGATAAGTACTTACCTTCGCGTACATACATACATACATATATTTTTTACATATATTTTACACCTGAGTGAAGCAAAGGCGAATCGCTAATAAAATATAATGTACACCTTTTTGCTGTGCCTTTACCGAGTAAACAAGCTACTAACTCACCCCTCCGCCCCTCACTGCTTACATTAATTTGTAAAATACACGGCTCTATACTGTAATTAAATTTAAGTGGCATCACTATTGCATTCAAATATAGCAAAAACTACGAACAAACAGAAAGAACCAGCTCGTAATCGAAGAACGTTAAACAAAACACCAAACAAGGAGTAAACAGTGGAAACGTGCAAATTCTTTTATTTATCAAGAGTGCAAGGAAAGAAATAAGAAGAAATTCACCCCGCGTTGATTCGATTCACTGTTGTGATGAATATTTGATATGGCTCAGTGAACACTAATTTGTTTATCGCATTCAAGCTTTTGTTCCTTCGGTACACGTACAACATTTCCAAACTGAATTTCTTTTCAATTATTCACAAATACAAACGCCCACATCAGAAACTCACTGACTATTCTAAGATATTTTATCTTTTATCTTCTATCTTTTATATACATGTAATAAAATTCTGAGTCGAATCTGTATATAAAATATTTTTTGGAAAATCTTATTTTAAATAAACATTAGTATCAATACAGAGGCCGAATCTATAGTTTTAGAATTTTTGTCTGTCTGTCTGACTGTCTGGGAACGCATCACGAGAAAACCACTTGACAGATTTTGATGAAATTTGGTACGATGATAACTGGTTATCCGGGTCAACATATAGGATCATTTTTACTGCAGGAAAATATCTAAGACGTATCTAGTCTTTTATAGTCTTTTATAAAATAACTTAATTTATTACTTCTCAATTACTTCGTTCATAAATATTTATTCATTCTCATATCTATATTTTAAGTTCAGTAATCATTTATAATGTAGAAAATGTTAATCAAATTGGTATTTCTTAGTTTTAAGACTCTTTTACTTCTTTAAGTACATATCTATATATATACCTATATTAAATATTGCAATTATAGGCGAGTACGCGAGGTCTGAACAGTGATGATGATGATGTTCTTCTGACCGATTCCGGCCACGGCGGCCAATCTCATTGAGACTAGCCAACTGCGCAGGAGATATTATAGTGCTCAAGTGTACGCGCAGACACAACGTGCACTCTCTATTCCTGTCACTCTCATACTCCGGTGGGACGACCACTCGACACGACCAGTGAGAGTTAAGGCGCAAGACCGACGGCTTTACGTGCTCTCCGAGGCACGGGGGTGAAACACCGCCAACTTCCCAACTCCGGGCTGTTACTGAGGCTTACTATACAGAAAGACTCAATAACTAAACTTGGCCCGACCCGGGATTCGAACTCAAGACCTCCGGGTGTGCAGCCGTACATGCTAGCCACTACACCACCGAGGCAGTTTAACTGTCTGAACAGTAAAGACACGTATGACGCGACGAACCTAGAATTAATTAAGTATATGTACTCAAGATAAAATCAGTCGTGTGGCAGGTGATTAAACAAATACTAGTGGAGTTTCTAATTAATATGCCAGACGTACTGCTGATAAGCGTAGTCGAGACATCTCTCGCGGTTCCTGCTTGCCTGATACCTCGTGTTGCGATTAACACGTTATTATAATGAGCCAGACGAATTTGTCTCAAGCGTCTAAAGATACTAAGATCTAACCTCAAGAGATCTAAATATTTTAATTAAAACCTGTTTGGGAATCGACTTATCTATGTTAATTTTGTTTTATTATATTTGATAACAAAACTTATATGTTAATTAAAGTGTATGCAAGATAATCTTGTAATTTAAAAGATTTAATGCTTTAGACTGCTTTATGTAAAGTACTTGAGTTTGCTGATAAAATGTAATGAGATAGATTAAAAATTTAATAGCTAGCAATATTATTTTGCAAGATGTTGATTATACGTAGGTATAAAGGATTATTATTTGCTATGTATCCTATATAATGCATGATTGGCGACTTCATCGCGGATTTTGTTCACACTTTAGGGTTTTAATTTTTTGCGCGGAACCCTAATTATTTTACCAAAATAAAAGTAGTATTACTCTTTTTAACGTCAGCTATCTGACAGTGAAAGTCCCATCAAAATTGGTTGATCCGTTTCGTCTGATCGTTCGTATGTATCGTTGAGATTAACCGGAACAATCGTACAGACAGGCAGACAAAAATTTTGAAAATTGTTTTTTTCTTATAAGTACCATTTAGAGAATCTCAATGTATGTACTTGTGAAATTGTTCGTTGTTTTTATTCATGTCCTTTATATCAAGCTGAAGGTCTACGTCAGTAAAAATGTAAAAAATAATAAATAAATATGTTGGAACGTTAACACACACCACCATCTAGTTCCATGGTAAGCTACGAGCTTGTGTTATGGATACCAGTTAGTTGATACACTATATATATATATATATATAATTTTAAATACATACATATTATAAATATGAACACCCGTGACTGGAGTATAAACATTCGTGCTCATCACACAAATGAGTCCCAGCGAGACTCAAACCCGCGACCGCTGGCGCAGCAAGCAGGGTTACTACAAACTGAGCCAAACGTGTCGTCTATAGGAGCAAATAATTAATACATTCCGACACATGGTGCATCGCTTAGTTATAACACTTTATTATATTGTAGCGTATAATAATAATTATTAATATACAATATTAGCATACAAATAATTTAGATTTCAAATCATAGGTTTTCGAACGTCACTTTATTTATGTTGTTTATAATCTGTATAAAATCTGAACCGTTTCCGCCATCATGAGAGGCAACACTCTCTCTTGGCCGTCGCTACGACGCTTGCATAAAAATACCTATATTATATATTAATTATATATTACCTTGTAACAATCCATGTGAAAATGACAATAAACTAGTGTTACAAAATCAAGTTTTTCATTTGTCTCCAAATGCGACAATATGTAATATGTATGTATCTATTTCGTTTTCTATTGGCAACTAAGCCGACCAATTAAAATAATTATATAAGAAAATTGCAATAAAATAGCAAGTAGGTATAGTAAATAAAAGAATAAGTATACGTGTATACACACATTAATAACTAGTTTTAAGCCGCGGCTCCATTCGTCTGGTATCTTAAAATAATATATAAGATATAAGCTATTTCTAATTTGATTATCACTAAAATACGCAGATACAAAAATAATTTTAGTATGATATTATAATGTTTTTGATTTATTTTTATAATATTCTTTCAGGGGACGCCAGCAACGCGAGTATCGGCTCCGGCGAAGGAACGGGGGAAGAAGATGATGACACGAATGGAAAGAAAAACCAGAAAAAACGTGGCATTTTTCCAAAAGTAGCTACCAACATACTGCGGGCGTGGCTTTTTCAACATCTAACGGTAAGTTGCTTGGATAAGATTGATATTTTTATTTAAACGCGTCTAATATGATAGTATTAGATTAAAAAAAGCTCATCATACTTATTGCGCTTTCGGTTTTTAATTGGGATATTTAGCTATTTCTGCTACATTAATTATACTATGTACGTTATATAAGATTTGGTGAAGTTTTAGTGTGTCTTTTTAAATAAGTTGCTATATATTTGAAACTTGCTAGATAAAGATCATAGTACAAGATTATATGAAGATCTAAGTATTCATCTAAGACCACTCCATTTCATATATTTTTATTTTTTTTAAAAGCAAACAGTTTTGTTTCAAACAATTAATTTTATATATATACGAACGTACGGAATAATAAAACTCTCTAAACAATGATGATCCATTTCAATGGTAATATATGACAGGCCTGCCCAAACGCAAATGGACAATAGGTCGAGCCCAACAAAAGTTTGGTACTAAAATTATTATCGAATAAGCTTAATAGCTGTTTTAACTTCAGCATACAAAGTTGAAATCACGCAACGACGTCAGCGAGACAATTGTACCGCGAGCGGTGCTGCGGAGTTTTCAATTAAAATTTCCCAGCGCAAGCAATAAATTTTTCATTGCGTAGACAAAAGAACGGTAGACCCTCAAAGGGCAGGCGGTTCCTACGAATGTAATTAACATCGTCCTCGACTGTTCGACGCCTCAATAACGGGACCACGTTTTATCATTGTGATTGATGGTAAAAAATAAACATTAGCATAAGACGTTACCTGAGCTGCTCGGAGAGTGCACAGCGTTGCGTAGTAATTTCTAGAATGGCTTTTGCGACCGGAGGGTGCGAGGGAGGGGATGAGGGGATGCAATTTCATTACCGGTCCGGATCCGCGCCCATAAATCACCAAGGCCAAAGAAGGCGCTCCACTCAGTTCAGGTGACGCTCGCAAAGTCTTCTGAGCTCGGTATTTCTGTTTCATTCCGCCTCGCGAATCCTACTTTCTTTATAGCTACGAATTCTACGAATTTGAGTTTTAATTGTCGCCGCGGAAAAGCTTTTACTAACGCTAAAGAACTAAGAATTGAGAATTTATTCTCGTGAACTAAAATTCAAAATCCGCTTTGTTTCCGCCCGCGAAGTTTGAAGTTTAAAAAAGTAGGTACCGCCGACAATCGAATTAGAGAGCTTTTAGCGTTCCGTTTCGCGGGTTTTTGCGTGTCCCTGTCCGCGTCCATTACCGCGCTCCAAATTACTTATAATTGCTTCGCTTAGTGCTAAGTGCTTTCATTACGGCCACGACGAAACAGTTCCGCTAGACCGGCACTTGTCTATACTAAAATCTGGGATCGTATTTCATGTAGAAATTGAACAGTTAGAATTGCTCGGTCGCGATATGATTGGTGAGTTGGAAATGCGGTCGGACGCAGACGATACTTCAAATGGGCATCAAAAAGCGCGTTGGTCCACGGCGTGGCTGTCGGCGTGATGTTTGTAATATTCATTCGATTACGCTGCGGGAAATGGACCGCCGCGGCCGAGCGTTGACACCTGCCGAAGCCGCACTCGCGACTATCAATTGGGAACAAATGAATTCAATGTGCACATACTATTCTTCTCTTGATCCGCGATTTGATTTGCGATCATTTAATGCCCGGCTGCGACACGAGCACAGGTGATTGAAACAAACGACCGGTGCTAATTCCGTATTGCTCTCTTATAAAACCAAAAAAGGAGATGTGATCTCGCTAGTTGGAAACCGTCGAGCGTGGTCCCATTTAAATTCAGTGCGCCGCATGCAATATTGGTAACAATCCGAGTGTCCGTGACTGTAAACGGTATGAATTTTAAAACTTTGGCGATCTAGTCCATTCGAATTTGAATTTCATTGATCCGGGTGGGTTCCAACAATTTTACATTCCCAAACCGGTTACGAGCGTGTTCTGAATGAATATAACCTTTTACTAAATAAACAGAGCAGCGATTAATTTTATGCAAATAAGACATTAATGACGTATTAAGTGATTTCTTTTTACATACATATGTTCTATCTATACATATAATAAAATACTGAGTCGAATTTGTACATATTTGTTTTTTTGAAAATCTTATTTATATAGTCATTATTATCAATACAGCGGCCAAATCTATAGTTTTTAGAACTTTTGTCTATACCAATAAACCTCTTCTAGTGATTTTAAATAGTGATTCAATTCATTCCCTTATCACAACTTTATCCTTCGATAATATATTTTTATTAAAAGAAAAATCGTGTAATAATAAAGTATAATGTCATACGTAATCCCGCTATACGTTAATCATCAATCTATCCGAAGATGTACGCGACGTACATACCTGCTGTACGTGTCGCGGCGCCCTCGGATATTTCCCAAGATATAATATTGAATAACGACGCCACACAAATCCTACCTCGGGACTTTAAGCCCTTTCAGGGGGCTAAAAATAATTATAAGGCCTCGGTAATCCCACGACAAGATCCCACAGCTCTTGCCTGCCTTTTGTTTCGTTTCGTACATCTGTTCGTAGATTCAATGATTACCGCGTACAATCTTACCTTGTCATATTTCAGGCGACATGAAATATTAACAATAGGTTTTATACAATCGGGCGAATAATTAACCATAATATCGTCAGTTCAGCCAATTAAATAAGAATTTAATTGATATCTATTTTTAATGCATTTTGTTTCAAAATTCTAAAATCTATAATATTTTCTTAGATTTACGCGAATGTTTGAATTTATAAAATAAACTATCTTTTCGGATTATTTCGCGGACATATTTAGATTTTTGGTTCCCGACGTTTCGAATGCTTTACAGCATCCATGGTCATGGGAGAGACTGAGGTGTTACATGTCTTGAATGTATAGTTGTTACAGACAGCCTACCCACAATTAATTTGTTAATTGTGGGTAGGCTGTCTCTCCCGTGACCATGGATGCTGTAAAGCATTCGAAACGTCGGGAACCAAAAATCAAAATAAATCCGTGAAATAATCCGAAAAGATAGTTTTATTTAATAATTCTAAAATCTATTTTGGCCTCTGTATCGATTATAAGGACTATTTCAGTAAGATTTTCCAAAAAAATTCAATATACAGATTCCACTCAGAATTTTATTATATGTTTATATAAAAGGCTGTGGTAGCTTAGTGGTAACGCACTCGCTTGAGAGACCGAGTGAAGTGGTTTAAATCCCGGGTCTCGCACCTTTGATATTTTCATGTGCTAATCATTTCTAACATGATTACCACTTGCCTTACGGTGCAGGAAAAACATCGTGAGGAAACCTGCATATCTCAGAGAACCTAACAAGTTTTCGAAAGACATGTGAAGTCCGCCAACCCGCACTTGGCCAGCGTGGTGGACTATGGCCTGATCCCCCTCGTATTGAAGGGAGGCCCGTGCCCAGCAGTGGGACGTTAAAAAGGGCTGAATACTATACTATATATATATATATATATATATATATATATATATATATATATATATATATATATATATATATATATATATATAAATATATGGATAAATATATAAATCCTACATTGTGCATATATACAAAGTAAATTCACAAAAATCACGTCCATTAAACACAACGTCGTAATTTTGCACGACAGGCCGTTATATTAAGAAGAGATCCAACATCATAGACGTGATATGGCGAAATGCGGAATTTCTAGCGCGGTGTTGAGTTACGTCGGTATCGAGTTCTCTTTGATATCCACCGCGCCGGAATGGAAGCATCGAGAAAGAATTTATACTTTATTTATGCTAGTACAGTCCTTTGTTATGTTACTTTACGATTATTATGGGAGCATGTCGGAAATCTATGTTTAACAGTTGATTGTGTTCAATATTTATTAAGCTAAGCCGAATCTATACTCGCTAGCGAGTATGTTAAAATATTAGTTGAAAATGGTCAAGCTTTTTACTTATGTACAATTTCGAACTCCTTTTGGCAAATGAGGATGATATAATAGTATAAAAACAGCAATTGCTTAGAAGATAAAATAACTGCATTTGTACGTTAGCGAGTGTAGTAAACTACAATTTAACGATGACAACGCGTAGTAGAATAATGCATATTTCAATACCAATCTACGTCCTTTAAAATCATAACAACGCTGTTAACATTTTACTATTGGTCTTGTCGATAGATAGTCGTGAGAAGTTTGTTTATAATTGCTGTTTGTCTCTTTGTTATGGTTTTAAAGCCAATCTTAAATGTAGAGTAAAATTAAGAATTTAAATTGATTATCACCTCCAGATAAATATCTAAGATATTAATTAAAATTCCAAGAAATCTATTGTTAACTGATACGCCGGCGTGTCCACGCTCGTGGAGGGTTTAAGCACGTACCTACTTCTCCTTAGATATTATATGTATAAATATAGATGATAATGTCTTTCTGCAGTATACCTAAGGTCTAGTTCAATAATAGCGCATGCTATTACCAATTCATTTTGTTTTCCTTTGCAAATCGAACCTTTAGTCTTCGACCATTCCACAAATATCTTATTAAAATTTTCTCTTTGCGAAACCAATAGCATATTTAAAACTCCAACAGCTACAGACGTGTAAAAGATATATTTATTCACTGGAAAACTCGCAAATTGTATTTCACAGTATACTTTCGAAACATAAAAAATTATCCAAATGTCCAATTTCCATTAATCCAATAACGCGGATGGTTCAAAATATAGCTCAATTTTGTTTCTCGCTGAAAAACATTAAATAAACTCGGTTTTTCCCTTGGTTTATTTGGTAAGGGCGCGTCGTAAGTTTTACTTGGAGGAGTCGGGGCAAATTGCATACGAATCCTGAAGATGAGAATTTATTAATATTGGACGCGACGCTGCGAGGGTATCTCCTAAGAATTAAGGCTTTTTTCGTTCGGTTACAAAATAAGGTCTATTGTTGGGAATATTGTGTTTCGTGTGTAATTTGGCACATATGTACATACATACGTTGAACAAACTCTGTTTTTTTTCTAT